AGCATCAGCTAACCCTGAACAAGTTAAATGAACTAGGAGGTGCACTAATCTAAAATCCTCTAGCATGCCTTGGGAAATATGATTTCTTTTATCTGAAAAACAAATCTTGGTTTGTCCCAATTTGGGAAATGCTATTCCACCTGTTAATGAGGAAATGCAATTATGATCACTTTATGTGAGGTGTCTTAAGCTTTCTGGAGTGAAATACAAAATGAAGTGAGCAATAAGTACACTTTCAGAGGAAATCACATCATTTGTTACTCTATAAACCTGCAACAAAGTCAAAAGCTATGATATTGATGCAGCTATTAATAAAGAAGACTTTAAAGGAGCCCTAAAGCTAGAGCAGGTGTGCTGGAAGCGAAGAAGAATGCACAAAATGTTTTGAATCAAGCCATCTGAAATTCAAAATTCCCCATTTCAAGAAAGAAGCATTCTGCTTCAAATTCAAAAATAGGTACTTTGATTGGAACATGGGTGTTTTGAGATTCCAAAATACTTAAAACATAGCAATAGCAATAGCAGTTAGACTTATATACCGCTTCATAGGGCTTTCAGCCCTCTCTAAGCGGTTTAAAGAGTCAGCATATTGCCCCCAACAACAATCCAGGTCCTCATTTTACCCACCTTGGAATGATGGAAGGCTGAGTCAACCCTGAGCCGGTGAGATTTGAACAGCCGAACTGCAGAACTGCAGTCAGCTGAAGTGCTGCATTTAACCACTGTGTCACCTCGGCTCACATTCTCTTTGATATATCATAAGGAGATTTCAAAGGCTCAGGATCACTTCTGAAGGGCATCATATTTAGTAAATATTGCCTAACTAATCATGATAAGTATTCAAAATCTCTGCATGGATCAAAGATGAAGGCATCTCTTTAGATAGGCTTTCCTTAATAGTGATTTGGCCTTATCAGCACACGTACTTCCTCAGATTGCGATTCTGTTTCCTCAGTTTGGCAATCTGTTTCTCAGCTCCATTGAACCTCAGTGCATTGTAAATTTAAAAAGTTCACATATTTTTTCCAATATTTTTTCCATATTTAATTCTTTATTGACACACATTTTAAATAAATAAAAAGCAGATACTGTGTAAAACGATTACACAAAGGTAATTATAATAAATCAAACATGAAACTAAATATTGCAGATTAAATAAATGCACGAAAAGAATTGATTACAAGACATCAAGAATGATTTCACTAAACAAAATGGTGGGAAAAGAATTAAATTTAGACCGTGATTGGGATTTGGTTGAAATTTAACAGAATGAAGCATAATAACTTACGGAGAATACATATGGAGAGGTGTTTGCTGTGAGCGCGTGCATATAAATGAAATATAAAAATATTTATTTGGAGATAATTAAATTATGGGGAGGGGAGGGGAGAGGAAAGGAGTGAAGAGTAGAAAAGGAGAGGAGAGGAGATGCTTCTTTGGAGTACAATTACTAACTGGCTGTAATGCAATTTTGTACATAGCCAGTATTTTCCGTACGTTGTAAAAATATGGAAGTTCATTGTGACATTTTCCAGAATCATCCAGTTATTTCTAATCAGCAAATTAGCAAAATTTCAGCTAGTAAAGCAAAGAAGATTTTTTTTACCCAGTGCTCCTGTGCTCCTAAACCTGTATTCCAGTAGAGTTGATAAATCAGAAGGAGTTTTGGGAGGAATATGTCTGAGCAGCTAGGAGTCAATGTAGCTTCTGTGATCATTCTGACAGCATAGCAACATCTTTCAAATAGATCACCAGCAATTGAAAACTTTGGTCCCCCTCCATCTCTGGCATAAGAAATATTTTTCAGGAGGAGGATCAGAAGGCTTTTTTATATGACTGATATAGCATCTATCCTTGATAGCCATAGCAATAGCACTTAGACTTATATACCGCTTCACAGTGCTTTTACAGCTCTCTCTANGTGAGAGTCAAACTGCCGGCAGACAACAGTCAGCAGAATTAGCATCCTAACCACGGCTCTTAGATTACCAATCACTTCTCATTGATTCATTAATGGACCATCACATACTCAAAAAATTTTTTGTAGCCAAGTCATTCAACGCATCATCAGAATGACAGAGGAGAGCTTCCTGGATTGGTACCTACAAAGGGAGAAGATAGAGAGTCAACAGAAGCAGTGGATTCTTAAAAAGATATGCAGAAAATGATGGATGTGTCCTCTTTCACCAATGAAACTTAGTATGTGACTAAGCAACACTTTTTCTGATGATTTTGCACAAAAATAATTCATTGGGGAGTCACATTTTACCGCTAATGCTGGATGGGATCCGAGCCAAAAATGGGTAAAGGCCCCCAACTCGCTTTTCTTTTCATCTCATCTATTTTCTTCCTCCATCTTACCTTCATTTCATTTTGCCTTTCTTCCTTACAGAACCAGCTCATATAGTAAAAGGATCACATCTACAAAATGTTTGGATTGGTTCCTTGGACAACATCTGCACATTTAGTCAAGGGCAGTATGTGGTTTTAGGATAGTTATGCCTAATTGAAAGAGGGAGGAACTTGGTCCTTGCGTGGCATGTTGGAGCATTCTACATAAAGTAGGTCTCTGTGAGTAGGATCAGAACAAAGACTCAATTCAACTGAATCTAGCTTTCATTTTAATTCTGATTTCATGTAATTACAGAATCCACTTAATATGAATAATTCCCACATCTTTAATAATGTTCCCTCTTCTGTCCCATGTCAAAGGGTAGTTTGGTAGTAATTGCTGGAGAGGTGGCAGGAGCCATGCTATGGTTCCAGGGATTGCTTCCAGGGCTTGGGGGCAGGTTGCATATTCAGGTATTGAAAATAAAACTGTTATCAATTAGAAATCAGATAATGTCTACATTTATTGCTGACTGCAAACCCCTTATGGACTTCTTGCAGAAAACAGGAAAATGATTTATAGTTCTGATTATTAGACAGGATAGATTATATAAAGAATACTTCAGTAACTTTAGAGAAAGAGGCAAATTTATCATTGTGCTTGTATCTGCCATAATGAAGATTCGCAGTTACTTCTTTGTGTCTTTTTTCTTTCTCTTCTAGTTTGATTTTTCCTTTCCTGCGTTTTTAACTTTCTCTTTGATTTCATTTTCTTTTCTTTCTTATGATATATTAATTTGTATTAGTTTTTAATCTCCTTTTTTAGAACTCTTAATACAGGTATTAAAAAATATGACCTCTTCCCATACCCCAAATGACAAAGAGGAGGAGGCACCCAGACACAAGGAGTCCTCCTGATTTACCTCTGTATGCTGGACCAAGAGAGTGAGGGCCATCTGTTCAGTTCCCATGTCACTCCATGGTAACCTGGCAGAAACACAAAATGGGGATTTGGTTACCTACAAAATGAATCTTGGGAAGCTAGAAGAGATGCTCCAATCTTTAGCAAGTGGTCAGTCCCAGGGGCAATCTTTGCTCAGTGGGAAAGCATACAATGATTTGCAGAAGGTATCAGGTTCTATTTATCTCTCACATTTTCAGATTAATTAGGTAAAGGTTCCCCTCCCACATATATGCTAGTCATTCCTGACTCTTGGGGGTGGTGCTCATCTCCATATCAAAGCCAAAGAACCACCGCTGTCCAAATACATCTCCGTGGTCATGTGGCCAGCATGACTAAACGCCGAAGGCACACAGAACACTGTTATCTTCCCAGCAAAGGCGGTCCCTATTTTTCTACTTGCATTTTTACATGCTTTTGAACTGCTAGGTTGGCAGAAGCTGGGACAAGTAATGGAAGCTCACCCCATTATGCGGCACTAAGGATTCGAACTGCTGAACTGCCAACCTTCTGATAGACAAGTTAAGTGTCTTAGCCACTGAGCCACCATGTCCCTCCAGATTAATTACTTTAAAAAAGGTAGCAAATGTGAACAGGTTTTGGTAGAGACTCTTGACATGTTAGAATGCAGCTTTCTGTGTTCATAATTGTTAAACTATGGTCTATGAGCTCTCATCTATTTGCAAGGCAATAACTTACATCTATGCTAAAGGACTGAAGCAATTCCCAGTACTGTACTCAAGACCTGCTAACATTTGGTTTAAAATACTCAATAGAAATGATACATACATGTTTCTCCTTCCTGAATGAATAAATAGGGCATGTAAAAAATAAGCTTTTCCGGGAAAATGACGGAAGTCCATCTATGCCATGGGCTTATGTGACCTCCTCTATTTTCATTTTAATGATGCAGTTTCAGTGTTTTTATTATATTGCACATTTTTAAAATAAGCTTTGTACCCCATTTAGGTTTTCTTGCAAATGAAGCTCACTGTTAAACAATTAAGAATTTATGAGCAAGCTCAGTGTTTACATCACAATCATTAACAGAGGGATAGAATCAAGAGCATGTGAAGTTTTAATACCACTTTATAATGCCTTAGGAAGACCACACTTAGAATACTGCATCCAGTTTTGGTTGCCATGATGTAAAAAAGATGTTGAGACTCTAAAAAGAGTGGTGAGAAGAGCAATCAAAATGATTAGGGGACTGTAGAGTAAAAAAAAAGGAATGGTTGCTGGAATTGGGACTGTCTAGTTTAATGAAAAGAAGAACTAGAAGTGACATGTTAGTAGTGTTCCAATATCTCAGTGGATGCCACAAAGAAGAGGGAGTCAAGCAAAGCACCTGAAGGCAGGACAAGAAGCAATGGATGGAAACTAATCAAGGAGAAAAGCAACCTAGGAGAAATTTCCTGACAGAAGTTGTGAGTGCTCCAACACTGGAAGTTTTTAAGAAGAGATTGGATAACCATTTGTCTGAAATGGTATAGGGTTTCCTGCCTGACCACTGGGTTGGACTAGAAGATTTGCAAGGTTCCTTCTAACTCTGTTATTCTGTTATTTCATAATTTTCTTTTGGGTGCTGGAGACAGGAAAACCCACTGTTACATTCTTGAGGAACGGGACAGGAACAATTGTGTGCTTTGCTTGACTCCCTCTTCTTTGTGGCATCCACTGAGATATTG